GTACATTAACAGTGAACAGCTACCGAACGCTGAGACCACGTTCATCTATAGGCATGCACAGGGTTCCAATTCAGGGGACGGGGAGGATGGGCGGGGGTGAACGTTTGTAACAGTGCCCTTGCCCCTCCCTATTACGTAAATGTACGGGGCTAGCTTTGCACCCTTCTCTTAGGAGGCAAAAGGGTAAGCACCAACCCCCTTGCTCCCCTCTCGCCCCATGCGCACGCCTGTGGCCGCTTCGACAAGGATTCCTCCGTACGTCAACTAAGCGGCTAGAAACCTCTAAGTGACGCAACATGCAGCAGTCACGACGCAGAAACAAAAAGTACAAGACATAGCCCGAGCGACAAACAACGCTATAATAACCGCACGTGTACATATGCACACGCACTAGGCAGACTTGCTTCTATTATCGCACATGTCTTCGTTTAGACCGACAAGTTTTAAAAGCTCGTATTTCCTTGTTTTGTCGTCGGCGAGCTTTAGGGCACGTTTATTTCTCGATTTAAGTTTTCATTTGTTCCAGCAACAACGGACTCAAGCAGAACGGCCGGTGATCACTCGTTGCCACATTCGGGGCTTGGCCAGCCATCCAGCGCATGCGGAACTAGTGCGAAGTTTAATTATTAACTCAATATTGTTTCACGCAAAGAACTTTTGTTGAATTTTGTCGTTCAGTAGCAAGCGGGCACATGAAGCCCTCAGGACACTGTGTTATACTAAGGGAGCGTGAAACACCGAATGCTCGCTGCGTCAAAGTTCTTAGCTGCACTTGTCTCTGCCGTATTAATCGGATTTTGTCCTGAACGCGAGACAAGAGTGGTTAGCTTTTCCTGTTTTTTGCCTTATTGAACCCTAAAATGCACCGAAAGCAACAAGGAAAGAGAGAGATAAGTGGTTAAAGAGAACTGGAGATGTGCGTCATGCTTCGCGCTGCACGTGGGCACAAGTTCTTCCTCGCAAACCAAGCAAGAACAGGTGCGAGCAAACATCGGCGCAATAGCAAGGCTCCATATTCTGGGTTGCGGCAGTACTTGAGGTTCTTTATTCCCAGCAACGCTTTATTTTCGGTTCTAATAGCATGGAACGGGAGTAAGAAAGAAACACGGGAAGATGAAAGCTGTTTATCATGATGCGCAGCTGTTGCTCGCGAACGCCCTCCGCGCGCTGCTTTCAATGGCAGCATAAATATCCGAATCGTCGAAGCCGGCGTCTCCCGTGCTTGTTCCCTGGAGTGTTGTGTAATCCTTTACGCAAGTGTATAAGCTCCCAAACACGCTTGCAATACGCTCGTTCTGCTGTCGAACGGGTGCCGAACTGTTTATTTAATGTCCCTATTTGAATTGACGCTAGAGTTGAACGCTTCCAATTCTTTTTTCTTCGTATTATAACGATATTGTTTTATTTATACCGCATTGCATATTACTGAGCATAATATTTGTTTTTACTCTGCTACGTTGCATTGTATTTTGTTTCATGTATATGTTTAAACAGCACAAACTTATTATGTATACGCTTCCTCATTTTGTACTATATTACCGTTACTTTAACATACAAAACTTGCTACCTATTTATTACTTTCATTTTCAACATCATTAAAGTTTTTAATAACAGCAAACGTGCCATCAAACAAATCAAGTAATTAGCAAGACTCTTTGTGCCACATTTCCACACAAGTGTAAAATTGCTTTGTTATTTCCGAAGTTAAGCCTCTCGCCTTGTTTTACCGTAAGAATAGACGAGCTGGTTTTCCTCTACTGTAAAGAACACGCCTCGTATCGTGAAACTCATCATGCCGGCATGTTCAACGCGAAATGATTGTGGTTGTGTTGTAGTTTCAATGCGTATAATAAAAAGATCCTATGCTTTTACTTTGTGCGATGATCACTTGCGAAAATTCACTTTCACTTCACTTCTATAACCTTTTGAGGCCAACAATATCGGGAAACGTCGCTTTCACTTTTCAGCTTGAATTCGAGAGGTTGTATTATACTGCGCCCGGAAGATGGTAGAGCTCTAAGTTTCAATCATTTGTTGCCACAGTTGCGCAAAACGGTATTAACTCTTCCGCGACGGCTAATACGATCAACCCGACAATATGAGAACACGTTACATGTTGCGAGACTCAACTTTCAAAAAATATTGATGGTAAAACAAGGAGAGTTCCCATAAAAAAACTGCAGAACCGTAACTAGCAAAATTATTACGGTGGCTTCCGTTCCTTTACGAACAAGAGACCAGGGAAGGGAGCAAGAAAGTTAAAACGCGACATTAATATAGTGATGCCACCCTTCTGTGCTTAGTGACGGCGTCCAAAGTCAGTGCAATGCCTTGTGAGCGGGAGTCACACGGCAGAGCTATTTCGCAACGGTGCACTAAACAACTTCAACAGACTGGCGTCGCAACGTGAAGAAGCCGAAAGTAAAGCTGAAAGATGGGAAAATATTCATTCTGGAAAAACAATTCAGAGGCGAAAAGCTGTAGAAGGTAATGCTTAAAGCATACACTACTCCGTGCATGTGGCCTAAAATAAAGCAATAAAGGAAAGAAGTATATATTAAAAGAGTCAGTGCATCAATCTCTTATGCAATACACGCAATAAATTCATGAGCCCGATGAAGCGGCGTTAATGAGTAGACCACAAGCACACAGTCCGACTGACCATGACTGATTGCCGAGAATGAGCCGGTGGCGAAGAGCAAAAAGGACGTGCAGTCCAGGCACGCATGCATTGAGGTGAAGTGAACGTAAATGAAACACCCCCTCTCACTCCTCCCATCTGTCTAAAGCTCACGCTTATGCTCTCTTTTGTTGGGGACAACACGACGGAAGCTACGTAAGGATGAGGGCAGAGAGAAAAAGAAAAGGGAGATGTTTCGGGAAATGAAAGTGTCAAAGAAAGGTAGAGGAGAAAACAGCGGCGACAAAACTAAGCTTTGTGTTATGGGGAATAAGTAAATAAAGGGGAGCCGGGATAGGGGACAAGCAAGAAGCCAGTCAGTGGGGTAGGGTAGAGGGGGGGGGGGATCAGAGGGCTCCCGAAAACGCCATAAAGCCCATGGCTGGGTGCACGCGGGAAATAAAGGAAGCAAAAACCACAGTAAACAACTGAATGAATAAAAGGGAGGAAGTTGCTAAGGGATGAAAGGAACAAAAAGAATCGATAGTGCCAGGATGGCCACTACAAAAAAAAGTGCCTTTAGAGGACAAAACAGCACGGATAAAGAAACTTCGATAACTAAGAAAAAGGCGTGGGATCCGCTGGGAAAAGAATATAGAAAGGATTACGAGGAATAAAGGCGCTGCAAACTGACGCCGACGGCTCCGAGGCGCACATTAGGAGCGGTCGACATCAAGCGAAATGAGACCGAAGAGCAGAGCCCGAGAAAATGAAATCGTGTTACCTCTGTCTAGACCGCGAGGGCGCTTTGACTTCACCGCCTCACGCTCTGCGATCTACCTCGAATTTCCAATCGAAAAGAGGCGCCTCCTCTTGCAGAGTTTGCGTGCGTGCGTGTGTGTGTGTGTGCTGTTATAAATGGCTGTTGAAGCAAGAATGCTTGAAGTGCTGAGGGCACTTCTTTGACACGGAGAGCCGCTTGTAAGCCCCGGCTGCGACTTTCCTCTTCCAACAAAAAAATACCCTTCACAGTACCTTCTTTTGACGGGTCACGCGAAAATTTGAAAAAAAAAGAGTGTTAGAAGTGCAACTGTTCAGCGTGTCGCTGTTAATGTTTGTTGCACTTCTCTTTGGTTTGTCACTGATTTTTTTTTACTAAAGCAAGGGTTGTGCTGGAAAGATGATAACACTGCAAAGTGCATTTCAAGTGGGCTTAGAGGAAGGACTCAGAGCGCAAGCTTCCCAACAAAGTTCCTGCAAATCCCACACTGTGGATATCACTTTCATGGGATCCAATCGACTAGTAGCCTCCTACGCCTTGCTTTATGCTTCAAACCACAGTTACAAGCTAAAGCTTTGTCTAAGCTGAGTATACAGTTGTGCCCATGCCGTAAGCTTTCCTGGCACGGCTACTACACTGGCGTGCACAGCGTGTCTGGTGGTTTTATATGACGCCAACCCATGCGTTCCACCACAGACGTCAGTTTTACTTCAACAATTTTTCACGCAAAGTTGTGGAACGCCACTTGATCGCGAGGTCACTTATTGGCGATGTTGAAGCAAGTGCTTTTGAACGCCTGGTCACATCAGAAGGAGGGCCGCTCTGTCAGTTAACCACTGTGGACAGGCTCTTAGTGACGTCCGCTTCTCGTATGAAAATACTGCTGTCATTGTGAAAATTATTGCGCGAGAAATCTGAGAGTACCTTCACTTGGTGGCAGATGAGATGATTGAGCGGCTTTCCGGTCGTTGTACCTTACATTTGTAGTCGCAACCAAGGCAAATAAAGTAAGGTAATGTTGATTCTATGTTCCTGTGCACAACATTCATGTGGGCAATCTTCACAAAATAGACTGAAAAAAATTGTTACATAGGCAAAGAAACACTAGTATATGCCGTACTAGCACAACACATAGAGTCAATCCTGTATCGTAGACAGAACAATGGTGAAGTTTCGTAAACCTTTATTACAAATAAACAAACACTTCCAGGTCACACATGCTGGTCAAAATACCAAGGCATCGAAAAACTGGGACAAAGAAACACATATCGACTAGACGCACGTCTTAAATAGTTATTCAGAGAATTATTAACACGGCACCGCAAATATAGTAGAGAAAACCTCATTGAAGCTTAAGCTCTATAACAACTTTCGGAAAATGTTCTTATGACGTATGCGTACTGCGCGCAGCATGAGAAACTGGTCAAGTTTACCAGACTAAGGCAAGTGTACACTACAATAAATCTCACTTCAATCACACCGGTCAATACCATTCTTAAAGCCCTTACAATTGCAAATCCATTGTGTTGTGAAGTTTCCTTTTGGCGTTTCGACACTGATGTAATGTATCTTTTTTTTTCCTTTTTCTACAGATGAGTCTCTTCGATGATACAATGAGACCAGCGGCAAACTCGGTGCTACCACAAGAGGTATCCTGCTGGCGAGCTTCCAAGCCACACACTTGAATCATATGGGTCAGGACAAGTCGCCTGGAACACCCGTGACGCACCATGAACCGTCCAAGCTCTGCAGTTAGCGCGGCTACAGTGCCAGCACATGAGCAATCCAGAAAGGCGTTCACGAGGTTGGACCAGCTTGTAGTATTTTTACTCTCGTGTTGCTACGCGCTGTGCAGCAACGCTACCGGCGAGACATCGTGGGATGTTCAGTGCCCTGTGGTGTGCAAGTGCAGCATCGAGCCTTCGACGAACATGGGCATCAACCTGCGAACAGCCAACTGTTCAGGCCGTGGACTGAGGACGGTGCCTGTTGGCCTTCCATCTGACACGCAGGCACTTCTGTTGAACAGCAACCAGCTGACAGACCTCCACAACCAAATACCGACGCTGCGCAGCCTGGTCGAGCTTGATCTCTCGCGGAACCATATTAAGCAGCTCGGCCGTGGCATCATATTTCACAACATCAGCAGGCTAAAGTTCTTGGATTTGTCTCATAATGAATTCAAGACCCTGTTCAATGGCGTGTTTAGGGGCATCGTGCACTTAGATACGCTTCTCATGAACAGCGTGCAAATCAAGTTCATCGAGGAGCGTGTTTTCGACGGCATGCGTCTGCTGCGTGTGCTGACTGTGGACCGTAACCACCTGCCCTCCATCTATCCCGAATGGTTCCAAGACATGCTCGCCCTTGAGAGCCTGTCCTTATCGCACAATCACATCTCGTACGTGTACCCACGTGTATTCGTGCTGCTTCACCGGCTGCGCTACCTGTCCCTCGCTCACAATCGCATTCGAGGCCTCAGCGATCAGGCTTTCTTAGGCTTGGACAATCTTACCACGCTGCATCTCGACAGCAACCAGCTTACACGGGTGCCGGCCTTGGCTCTGCAAAAGTTGCAAGGTCTGCATACGCTTCACATTGGGAAAAACCCACTCACGGGGTTCCGTTCGGGCAACTTTGTGGGATTGCCAATAGTCGAGCTGTTCGCAGACCACATGCCCACGTTGACGGTGATCGAGCGTGGTGCACTCCGCGAGCTGCCTCGACTACAAGTACTACGCCTGCACGACAATGCAAGGCTGCAGTATGTGGACGCGCAGGCGTTCGTCAATGTTCCGTCCCTTAGCCAGCTGCTGCTTCACCGCAACAACATCTCGGCGCTCAGTGAACAGCTCTTCCGCAACTTGTCTGCACCCGTGAATGTTTCTCTGCATGGCAACCCACTTCTCTGCGACTGCAACGTGCGCTGGGTGGTCGAGGCCATGTCAGCCCTATCAAACACGTCCGTTCGTTTTATGCAACTCGAGGAACTGGCCTGCCACAAGCCACCATCAATGGTTGGCCGTGGCCTCCTCAACATATCTCTGGATGAAGTGCCACCCGAGTGCCCACCATTTCTCGTCGGCACCGTCAACAGCACAGTGCAGCGGAAGATTGGTGACGCGCAAGTATTTCAGTGCTACGCCCTCGGCCTTCCAGAGCCCATAGTGCGCTGGCTTCTCCCCAATGGTCGCGTCTGCAATGACACCGGAAATGACGTGCACGTCCAATTCAAACCTCCGGGAAGTATTACCATCTATCACCTGAGACCGGTAGATGTGGGAGCATATACGTGCGTCGCTGAAAATAGGCTTGGCCGCGTGATCAAGGTGGTCGACCTGGTAGTCGAAAACATCGACATCCACATCTTCCCGCAAGGAATCCTCTCAACGTCGGTGACCGTAGTGTGGAACGGCACCGCACGCAACACATTTCCCCAGTACGAGATCCAGTACAAACCTGACGACGGCAAAGACTCATTGGCAGGCGCGAGCCCTAAGTCCGTGAGTGGCGCTGAAGAAGGACGTTTCGAGTCAGTGACCGTGAGTCGTTTCTACAGGTCGTACACGATCAACAATCTCCAGCCAGAGACCAGCTACGTGTTTTGCATCGCAGTAAAAGACGACGAAGGTGATGCGCACATCCAGATATCGTGCACCCGCGCCCGAACCAGGGACGCAAGCTTCATGCTCCAGGGCATCCACTACACGAGCAACGTGGCTGTGGCTGTTGTGTTAGGCATCGTGTCTACCGCGATTCTCGTGCTCTGCGCGGCCACCCTGGTGGCGCGCCGCTACAAGCACAGGCAGTACGAGACGCCGCAAAAGTCGCTCGTCAGCAATACCGCGTCGCAGGTTGTGCCGCTAGAGAGTTTGTACAGTCCGCTTATGGCGAACGTGGGCTCATGAGGACCCGCTCTGCGCGTCGTTTTGCGCAAGCAAGGCGCACACGAATCGCCTGGCGAACGCTCGACGCGCCCGTTCCTGTGCAAGAAGAGGCAGGTGAACAGTCGAAATGAATTTGTGTAGCGCGCTACAGCAATGCTGCCATTCGGCCACGCAATCGAGGCGGAGCCAGACATTGAAGGCCTAGCTGAAGTATTAACGTGGTTGAAACGGAAAATAAGCGAGCAATGCGCTGCTCAATCAGGAAGCCACCTGATAACGCGACTGCCAGTTAGGTATTTACAGCGTTTTACGTCAGCGTGATAACGTAGGATGCATGGAACTGCCAAGTTTAAGAAGCGCCGAGTGAATATCACGCCGGCTCCTGCGAGCAGCCCGCATAGATCTCGACCAGAAAGAACTTTAGAAATGTTCTTGTATGTTTACTCTTTCTGTATCATATAATTATCTCTCAGAATATTATGTTCTTCCTCAAATTAGGTCTACTGCCACTACGTCAAAATCTCACTTTCTACAAATTTTTACGAACGGTAATGCTCAATGCGTCCGCGAAAAGTAGGAACGTTTTTACTGTTGGAAACTCACGAGCCGATTTTATTCTGTTGTTTTCAAAGCGTAAATATCCAAGGGCGATCTCGCAAAAACACAAGTATGTACTCGCAGCCCTTTTTCGAACGTAGGGAACACTCTACACGAGTAAATTGAATCGTGGAACCGCGAGAGAATGCAGTTCGACTAGACTACAAGTCCCCGTGAAGCGGGGAGAAGACAAAGAGCGACAACAAAGACTCAACGACATCATCTAAAAGCAAAGTATCGCCTCTCCTACACGCAAGTTAACCGTAGCGCCTCTATATTCGCTGTTCCTTTTTCTTTTCTTTTTTTTTGCGTGTAGGCGAAGCCTCAATCATTGTCATTGTTGGGAACGCGTGGATGGGGAGGAGGGCAAGATTTGAGAGGTCGCCCACGTGTCCCAGCTTCACTGGTTAGCTGGCTCACCACGAGTGCAAACTAATCGACACAATTACGGCACCGCGCAGTTCCGCAGCATCCCTTCCGAGCGTGCGCGCGCCTTCGTACTGCCGGTGCTTGTACTACGCTTCTCTGTAGCCTGCAATATACAGTTAACAGTTGTTTCCTTTTTCGAAAGAAATATATACGTACTGTTCTTGAGCACATACACATACACACATATTACACCTACCAGCACTTCTTTTTTTTTCTTCTTCATTTTTCTTTCTTTTGCACTGACCGATAAGTTGTAACTTGTGCCAGAGAAATAGCTCGCAGCCAGATGTTCAAATCTATGCAGGAAAATGGCATGAAATATATGTTTATGGTTTACAGCAGTCGTTCCGAAAGCCGCTATTTCGTTTCCCCGGCCTAAAACCTTTGCTCATGGGGTATTGTGCACGAGCTTATTTGACACATTATCACAGTGAATGTTAATCCACACCATTGCGCATGTTATTTACGTACTGCTAAGTTCACTTCATTCTGGAATATTTTGAGTACCAGGTGTAACATTCACGAGCTGTAATTTGTTGTGAACCCTGCACTATTGACTCAAGAACTTGTTTTTAAGTGTGCTATGCGTGTTATCCAAGAATGTGCTTTCGGAAGCAATCCTAATAATCCTTCAAGTAAAACAGATTGCTAATCAAAATAAATGATATGTTACGATATGACACTAATTTATTCTACTTGATTCATTGCGCAAATATTTTTCTGGTTGTGGTAATGTGGTTCAAGTACAGAAGTGCACACATATATGAACATTAGACAATACATCTACGGAACTTAAGATCTAGTCACACTACTCACCAAAAGACAAGCTGCCCATCTATACTTCAATAAAGATGTTTATGAAATAACTGCTTCAGTAATAAAGTTTTGATGGTTATTGAAATCTAGGCCTCATTTCCTTTCTTTCAATGAAGTAAATACTGCAATAAAAGTAATCTGCAGCAGTAAACTGACCAACGAAAAGTGAGTATTTAGGCAACATTATACTGGTAAATATCTGACTATGCCCCACTATAGGCTACGGCAGATCGCGGTATCGAATCCCGGCTGCAGCAGCAGCAGTTTCATTGTAGGTGAAACTGCTGTTGGCTCGAGTGCTCAGATTTGGGTGCCCGTTAAAAGAATCCAGGTGATCAAAATTTGCGGAGCACTCCACTACGGCATCTCTCAAAATCGAAAGGATGTTTTGGGACGTTCCATCCCACATATCTATCTATCACTAAAGCCTAAGAAGCCACTCTTACGCCGGAACTCGTGCCTTGAGGATGAAGATGCGAGGATCTTGATCGATGTGCATATCAGGAAGTAGTGTTGAGAAAGGGAGAAGATGCAAAGACAAGCCGAGAGGTTAACCTGACGCACGCCCGGTTTACTACCTGCATGTACTGGGGGAAGACATAAAGGGGTGGAGAGAAATAGCAGAAGAGAGGGAAGAAATATATACAGCATCACTAGCACACTTGGGGGAGCACGTGCAGTCCACAGGCGGCCGCCTCAAACTGCTCCTAAATATAAAAATATAAGACGACAGTGAAAGTTTACTTTCACAGTGATCACAATCTCATGTATACCTCCGTACTAGAACTGTCCAGGAATACCAAGTAGCGTTTTCGAACATCTAATTAGGCTATTGTTTATGACTAATAAAACCAATTTTGCAAGTTCTTTGAGAAATCTCACATACTGCTGTGGTACATTTCTGCTGCTTGAGTGCATTTGAAGGGCCCCTGAACTACTACTAGTTCAAAGGGGAAGGAGTGGTGTTTCTTGTCACCTGCGCGAGCCTTTTATAGGTGATATCAGCGTTTGTTTTTCTTCATAAAACTCGTGTACAGTGTCAGCACTAATAGTTCAGTGTGTGAAGACTTCACATCAGTTACACGATGTTCTCTCCACGTGCACATTCGGATATGCACGAAATAAAGTGTCATCTGTTGATTGCGTTCGGAATTAATGTGGGAGAAAGAAGGAGGAGTGTGATACGTACGCATTGCAAAGCAAGGTAGGAGACAATTTACTGCTGTTTAACGCATTTGAACTAGCCGAAATTAATGCTTTCAGAAGTACACCAAAGAAACGCGAAGCGCCGAAAGAGCTTAACTCTTTTTTCATTTTTTTTTATTTGAAAGCGAAGAAATTGGACGTTATTACAGCTGCCCCCAATAGCAATGTGTCTGCAGACACGGGACATCCAGATCAAGACCTATTTTTTTCATCGGTATTCAACAACAGCTTAGCAGATGAAGTATTGAAAAGTCACGTGGCTGTGTACAATGCGCATAGCGTGGATAGTACTGCATACCTTTAGGCTTAGTAAAAAGAACAGGAGGGGAATAAAAGGCAGGGATATTACCTAGTCTAAAAGGACTGCTATGCTATTCTAACAGGTGAAAGGGGTGGGGGAGTTTTCAAGATGTTAGTAAAAATTTGATGAAATACGTATGTGACGTCAATCCAATGCTACACAGATTTCAAGCCTTGTTCGTTCTTCACAAGACCTCAAGTCGTGCCATCATCAGTAGAGATGTCAAGGGTGTGGTTATGCCATCCAGAAAGCAACAGTCAGCCTCGATCACCAGAACTCCTGCGTTAACCAGACTGCTGCACTCTCCACTGAATTCCTTGAAAGTTTACGGAACTCCTCTGGAGCATAGAACCAATTGTGAATTTTGCCATTTGTGACTTTTCAACCTCTCCTTGTTTACTTTTTCTTGCTCATAATTGATGCCTTCTTTCGGGGGGGAGGAGGAATCGTGTGACGTATGAAGCGATGGTTGGTAGAGGCAGAGAAGAAAGAAGTCAAAGATGGAATGGACATGGGGTATGAGCCAGGCCACGTCTTCCACATCATAGCGTCACACGTAAGCAGTCAAGGCTAGTCTGGTGCGGACAAGCCTAATATACACGCATTCTGCAACGTATTTCCCACTGCTACATGAGAAAGCTTTTAGATGTCATCATTACACCTTACTAAGTATTATAGGTACTATTGTCCATTGCTATGACCACATTTGGCTCAACACGTTTTCAAGCTTACTGTGCCAGTAACATCACCCTAGGATGTCGATTAGGTAGTAAGCAGAGGAGAGAATCACATTGACCTGCTGATAGTCCCCATTATTCCACAGCTGTAAACTTATTTATCCAAGAGAACATGTGCACAGTTGCTTACACAACTGCGGAATGCATGACATGTTAGCCTGTGTATATTGTCACGAGGTAGTGACGTGGCCGAAGACAGGATACTTTGTGTAGGGATTTAACAGTTTATTTGGGCAAACCTGTGCCCGGCAAACGGAAAGTCAATTACAGTAGCAGTCTTGCACGGATAGCAGGGAACGGAGTGTCAGCCGTCGATCAACTACCGCCAAGCGGCGAAGTGCGTCGGCATTTATACTCTTGCCATCGAATGTTCTAGCGTTATCGCTGGTGGTGGCGTAGGTTACAGAATAATCTGTACAGTTCGTAGAGTGGGCTTGATCTTATCGAAATGATCTACTAAAGTCCGGAAGCTTCTCGAAAACTGCACGCACGTTTTGCGCTGAGAATTGTGTAGTGTTTGGGGGCGATAACAACACTTGAAAATGGAACGTGGCATTGCCCCCGTCTGAAAAATACATCGTCCCGATGCTTTAACTAAAGATGAAGGTACAACAATAATGCAAGAAAGCACAACGAATAAATTACGATACAATATTATTACAAAAAAAACACAGTTTCAGTTTCTTAACGCGCATAAAACGGCTTGAGGCGCGTGATATGGACGACTTCAGGTCGCGATCGGCGTCGTTGAGAGTTCGTGATGCCGTCGGGGACAACCACGTAATCAAGTGGGCCGAGACGTCTAACCACCCTGTACGGTCCGAAGTACCGTCGCAGAAGCTTTTCACTTAGCCCACATCGGCGTATCGGCGTCCACACCTAAACATGTTCACCGGGCTGGTATTCCACGAAGCGTCGTCGAAGATTGTAACGGCGGCTGTCGGTCATCTGTTGATTCTTGATACGGAGACGTGCGCGTTGTCGGCCTTCTTCGGCGCGTTGAAGGTGCTCACTCACGTCGAGGTTTTCTTCGTCGGTGACGTTGGGTAACATGGCATCGAGCGTCGTTGCCTGGCTCCTTTCGTAGACCAATTTGTATGGAGATATCTGCGTCGTCTCCTGCACCGCCGTGTTGTATGCGGAGGTCACGTATGGAAGAATGACGTCCCACTCCTTGTGGAAGACATCGACGTACATTGCCAGCATGATCGTCTTGTTTAGCCGCTCGGTGAGGCCGTTGGTCTGTGGGTGGTACGCTGTCGTCCGGGGGGTGGCTTGTCTGGCTGTACGCCAAGATCGCTTGAGTTAGGTTAGCAGTAAAAGTCGTTCCTCTGTCGGTGATAAGGACCTCCGGGGCGCCGTGACGTAGGGCGATATTTTCTACGAAGAACTTAGCCACCTCGGATGCACTGCCTTTTGGCGGGGCTCTTGTCTCGGCGTAGCGGGGGAGGTAGTCGGTAGCTACCAAGATTCATTTGTTTCCGAAAGCCGACGTCGGGAACAGCCCCAGTAGGTCCATACCATCCTGCTGGAAAGGTCGGTGAGGTAGATCAATTGGCTGCAGAAGTCCCGCCGGCCTTGTCGGTGGTGTCTTGCGTCGTTGACAGTCCCGGCATATCCTCACATAACGAGTGACGTCAGTGGCAAGACGTGGCCAATAGTACCTATCTTGTATCCTCGCAAGCGTGCGAGAAACACCGAGGTGCCCTGCTGTCGGATCGTCGTGCAGGGTCTGCAGGAGTTCTGGTCACAGAGCTGAAGGCACCACAAATAGGTACTTGGCTCGAAGGGGTAAAAAGTTTTTTTTTTGGAGAAGACCGTTTCGCAAGAAGAACGACACAAGTGCGCGCTTGAATACCTTCGGGACTTCGGTGGTCCTGCCTTCGAGGTATTCTATTAGGGCCTTAAGTTCCGGGTCGGCCCTCTGTCGTTCAGCGAAGTCGTCGGTAGTGATCGTTCCCAAGAAGTAGTCGTCATCCGGGTCGTCGGGTGGTTGGTCGACAGGCGCACGAGAGAGACAGTCAGCGTCGGAGTGTTTTTTGCCGGACTTGTAAACGACGGTAATGTCATATTCTTGAAGTCTCAGGCTCCATCGTGCGAGGCGACCTGAAGGGTCCTTCAAGATGGCTAGCCAACACAAGGCGTGGTGGTCGCTCACAACTTTGAAGGCCCTGCTGTAGAAGTAGGGGCGAAATTTCGACGTAGCCCAGATGATGGCGAGGCACTCCTTTTCTGTTTTGGAATAACTAGCTTCTGCTTTGGATAGCGATCGGCTGGCGTAACTAATAACCCTTTCAAGTCCGTCAGCCCTCTGCACAAGAATGGCACCAAGACGTACGCTGCTTGCGTCAGTATGTATTTCTGTCTCGGCGAATTCGTCGAAATGGGCAAGTAACGGGGGCGTCTGGAGGCGATGTTTAAGCTCCTGGAAAGCGTGTTCCTGCGGCGTTTCCCACTTCAACTCCGAGTCGGCCTTGGTAAGGTTAGTGAGTAGATCGGCGATGCAAGCGTAGTTTTTCACGAACCGCCTATAATAGGTGCACAGGCCCAGAAATCGGCGCACCGCCTTCTTGTCAGTGGGCGGCGGGAAGTAGGCGATGGCGGCTATTTTTTTGTGGATCGGGACGGACTCCAGAAATGGTAATCACGTGCCCCAGAAACAAGAGCTCTTTGTACGCAAATCTACACTTTTTTGGCTTCAGTGCGAGTCCGGACGTATTGATGACTTGAAGTACAGCTTCAAGGCACCGAAGATGCTCGTCGAAACTCGAGGAAAACACGACGACGTCGTCCAAGTACACAAGGCAAGTCTGCCACTTCAATCCTGCCAGTACTGTATCC